CATTTATGATCTATTCAATTAAAATATTTTAAGTAATCTAAATAAAATCTTACATAATATTTTTAATTAATTTTATTTTTATAACAAAATACAAGTTTCATTTTTTATTTTTTCTCTCTCCATTATCATTAATATCAGACTCTATTTATATTAAGTACCATCTAAATGTCACATTTTTATTAAACAAATCACAAATAACATAATATATCCTATTTACCTAAATATTTCTCATAAATATGCGTGTGTATTGTTACATCCCATCATGCAATACTTCCTCCCATATCTCTGCTTGATCATTCTCCATTCCCAGGAATATATAGAAAGTGCTACCACGATACGTCGAGTCGCACAACCTCTTTGCCCAAGTCACTTAAATCTATGATGTATTTTACCTTATCTGACGGTTTTGTCATCAAACCTTTTTTCGCTACAGGAAAATTAAAGTTGAATAATCTGCACTGTATCCTCATCATGCATTTTTTTTTTATTGTGTCTCTTGAGATATACTGTACGTATTTATCTAGCGTGAATGCATAAGATGAGACAGGGTTCTACGGTGGACGCAGTGTTGAAGATGGAAGACAGAGAGAGGGTGTAATACTGTGCTTGTTTTGTGGGAAAATAATGGAAAGTGAGGGACAAGGGGATCAGAAGGGTGAGAGTGGTGTCAAAATCAAAGGGCTAATATAAGAAATAATGGGAATGGGTTGGGTAGGAAGAGATGGGGTCTGTGAGATTGTGGATAGGGGAGACCGGAGACTGAAAATGATGATAAAAAAGGATTGGGAAAGTGATAAGGACTAAGTGCAGCTACCACAGTTGTGGACCACTGTTCTTTCTCCTTTTCTCTTCTCTCTTTTTCAAGTTCTATGTGACCGATCCCAGCCCCTCAATTCATATGCATATATTATGTATTCACTGTATTCATTAATTTAGTCCCTCTTTCAACTCTTTCGTGTTCTCTCCTGAGAAAGTTGAGAGAGTTTCAAATTCAAGTTTCGGCACAGAATTCAACAAAATGGACAACTCAAGAAACTTATGTTACAAATAAACGTAATATATTCAATCTTTTATCATGCATTCATTGGTTTAGTACATGCATCTCGTTTGCAATTCCTAGTTTTCGTTTATTGTTACAAGTACTATTTCAAACAATGAGATAGTCATATTAGGAAAACATTAATTGATTAAGAAATGGAGAAGCTACATATACTACTTTCCGTAAGATATTATTGATAATAACATAAATCAAAGTCCATTAACGCAAACTTCAAAAATCACATATTATATTTGAGTTCTTTTTTAATTTTTCCGCGCCTAACACTAAATAAATATGAAAGCCACCAGATACGAGTGGTATCCAAATAGTAAATTATCCTGTTTATCTACGTGTGCGCGCGCGCACCAATTTTTTTGAATGAAAATATCTTCTTCCATAACATATTAATTAATTAGAAATACATTCAGAGTCTTGTGTGTGTGCAGCCTACTGTAAATTTTTAAAAACAAAACTTTTTTCCTTGGTGCTTCTTTGAGATAAATCGAAAACCGCATAGAATTCGTCATTCAAATTAAATGAAAATGTTGGTGGGCTTATGCTACTCATAAAAACTATACGTATAACACAAACTTGGTGTTAAGTGTAGAGATGATTTGGGAGGCCATTGGAAGGAGTTGGTGAGGGAATAACTAGGAAGAAAAAAAAGATAATACCAATTTAACAATAATGCCTTGTTTCTCTTTCCATGACTCAATTAAACAACTCTTTCGCCGACCAATCGGAATCTCGAATTCCTCAAGGAAGAGCATATGATACTAACCTATATATCATTATATATACACATACTACACCGTAAATGCTCCGTTTTTGCCCGTTTCAGACTCATCACCAAGCAATAACTTTCCACTTTTAGCGATATATACGAATAATTTAATTTAAAATTTAATCACTCAACATGATTAACCTTCTAACTTTCACTTTTCCCTTTGGATTTTACCCCCTAACCGATCATCAATGATATTATATTATAATTAATATCTATAAAGAAGTCAAGAGACGAGTGATCACTACTCGAGCTAGGGAGCTAGGGGAAGCTATGGAAATCTGCTAATGGAAAAACATACGGCGCTATCACTCTGTTACTTAACCTTGTCTTTGAAGAGAGCGATAAAGGCTATATCCCTCAGAAACCATGTATAACTTGGAAAAAGGTTTGCTTTTTCCCCCATGACTATGTTCCTGAGAATTATCGAATTTTATTCACTCAAAAAATATAATAATAATTATTTCTTCGCCCTCATAATTAGCCTGTATATATGATTATTTATCTTTAACAGTATTCCAATACTTTTGCAGAGTTTTTAACAAAGGATGTACAGCGCAAAAAATGATGCCACTGCCTGATTGCCAAATGAACATTTGTATAGCAGTTGTACGTACGTAATTATGATACAGAATACTTTGCCATGTGAAAGCCACATGATTTTACGGTATTATTACTACAAATTACATGTAACGCAAAGGAAATAAAAAATCTATCACTTTTGATTTTAATTTACTGAACTTGATGTGGATGTAGCTAAAAGCAAATAAAGGGACTCAACATTTATAGGCACAAAACAGAAAGCTTTAAATGCTGCGCGTGTGCAGCGACATGATATTGAACGGAGCAGCCTGCAGCAACAAAATTTGACCTCTCGAGCTCCAAATCTAACTGCATTAGAGTTCACACACACACACACACACACATAAGGAGATCATTTAAATATGAAAAGAGATTTTCTGGCTTTACTAGAGCCTAGCCACTGTGCCTTAAAATTGACAGGAGGGCCTAATTCTTGAGGGTCTTGTTCTCTCGAGAGTCGACCAGCAAGTTACAGAATGTGCCATAGCCACTTGATTTTGAAGTTCACGATATTATACTGATGTGTACAAGACATGTCCGCATAATTAATTCTGTTGTCTGTAGATGGGATCAAGGGTTGATCCAAATTTTCTCCTCAATTGATAGAGATATTAAGTACAGTCAAAATCCCCATATCTCGGCAAATTAACAATATAATTTAATCTAACGGTGTGCAGATTCAAAACATGCTTTATTTAGTTAATATACAACGAGGATGGCATAATTTTCTCGTCAGATTTTTCAAAACATGTCCGTTTCTAGTCATTACCGCTTGTATCTTTCACCCTTTTGTAAGTATTCTATTATATAAATAAATATATATTTTTACCCCAGAAAATATATATATATATATATATATTTCCTCCTTTAACAGCATAACCGAAAGGTAATAAATAAACTACTAAAGGAAACATATTAACTACCTGCAGGTATATTGCTAAACCCAACATCCCTATGCGGCCAATTGTTGGCGCTGCTTGAATACAATCATTATTCTTATTCTTCTTTCTTCCCCCCCCCCTCCTTTTGTGATGAACAATAATAATTCCGTAATTATTGAATAATTGGGTCAAATAGTTACACGAAATTTCACCGCATATTATGCTGATTTTGTGAATACAATAACTACCGCAGATCTTGGGCAATCAGCAACTCTCCTACTCTTTCCTCTTTTTTAAGTATCATTGCACTTTTATTCTATCATCTTCGTGCATGTAACTAAATCATAAGGATTTCGCGTCCCAATGCAGAGCAATAAAAAGCAATTGTATATATTAGGAATAATGTTAACTCACTCTGACATCATTGTTTAGAGTCCAAGAAGACGGACAGTCAATTGATATGCACACAAAAGTCCAACTATCTCTGGTGCAAAATATGACCGTACATGTGAGTCTTATCTGTATGTCATGGTACAAATAGACAGCAAAGAAACCCCTCTAAGCGTCTCCTAGGCATCCAAATTTTTAGTCCCGACTCCTAATAATGATCACTTTGATCTCACTCATGTTATGCGACACGTTTTTTCTTTTTCTGATACATGTTTCCTAAATTATTTAGTAAATTTTGCCTCATAGTAGATTATTTCGAATTTTCTGTCCAACCAGTGATCTCAAAAGAAACATGAATCCCCACAAACATGAACCTAATGCATTATATTTTGAACAAGTGGTATTCTCAGATTTATGCTTTGTGAGAGATGTGTTTTTCCAAAATGATTGACAAGGAGTGTGAGTTGATGAGATGGAGAGGGAATGAGAATGGGAGACATGCTCACATTCCAGATATTATTATTAGATGCAGGGTCATAGTCATTCTTTTTTAGTGTACCTCCATTTATTAGCTTTGTCTTTTGCATCCATTCCTTCTCCATCCACTCACTCACTGCTCTCTCTGCCTTCCCTTCTCTCTACTGTCACTTTTTCCCACTACTAAATTATCAGCGTCCTCTCTCTCTCTCTCTCTCTCTCTCTGTGCGCAGTGTCTCTCTCCTCCAATTAGGGTTTCCTCTCTAGGGTGTTCTCTCCTTTAACAAATCTGTGACTATTATATACCTCTCATTGGCTAAGGCTATGACTTTGTCTGGAGGGGAAAAAAATTAAAAGCAGCTTCCGAAGCACCTCTCACGAGGGAAAGGTAGTGCCCTTTTCCTTCATCTGATCAAAGAAACCTATATCATAAACAGGTAAGTTCATGTTCATGTAGCTAGACTGCTTCTTTGTTCTTTTTCCAAGTTTATAGTTCTTTTTCTCTGTTTCTGTTTTGTTTTGTTTTGTTTTTTTAGTAAAGTAACAATTCATAGACATCCCGAAATTCTTTTAAGAAGTCACTGTTTTAGGGCTTTGCCATTCAATGCGTCTTTTGATGCAGCCTTGCATGAAATACATGAAATGGCAATTGTTCCAGCAGCCAGATCCCTAATTCAACTTATATTCAGAGGGAATTTTTTCACTCTCTACTTGATCATGCAGCTGAATTCTACCAGCAGAAGAACCATATGAAGTGTTCTCGAACGTATCTTCGCTAAGAGGAAGTGTCAGGGGAAAAAAGAAAATTGAGTCCATAAAAGGAGAAGACGACAAACCCAGAAAATAATTTTAAACGAAAGAAATATAGCGAACTAACACTGCGTCTGGTGGAAGTTCGAAGTTCAAAAACACTACATCTTTTCTTGTTTTCCCTCACAATTGACAGGAGGGGGAGAGAGAGAGAGAGAGGGTGTATTTGTGGAGTTTAGAAGGGAAAGGTAAGGTAAACGGTGATGCAAATAAATTATTCAAAAATTGATGTCGAGAAAGATGTTTCTGGTTGTTATAGAAGTATATTGCTGCTGCTTTCTATATGAACCAACCTCATGAACTCCACCGGCTGTTGATGACTTCATCAAAGCGCACACAGAAAAACGAGGTAGACGGAAATCGAAAGACAGATAAAAAGATGTGCAAAGGTGCAACTGATATGTATGTGTGTAGCATCAGATCCCATTAGCTGTCACCGGTTTCACCTTTCCTTGAAATTAAAAGTGAAACTATTTCTTACTAGAGAGACTTGACATATATATAGATCGTGGAATTAAGAATAAAAAGCTTCTCATTCGGTTTTATATATGCCAATAATTTATTCTATTGCAGAGATCCATCGAGAGAGAAAGGAAAATGGCATCAAGCTCTTACTCATCTCCTTGCGCGGCCTGCAAATTCCTGAGAAGAAAGTGCATGCCAGGTTGCATCTTCGCGCCCTACTTCCCTCCCGAGGAGCCTCAAAAATTCGCCCACGTGCACAAAATCTTCGGTGCCAGCAACGTGACCAAGCTGCTCAACGAGCTCCTCCCTCACCAGAGAGAAGACGCCGTCAACTCGCTCGCCTACGAAGCAGAGGCGCGCGTGAGGGACCCAGTGTATGGTTGCGTCGGAGCCATCTCTTTCCTTCAGAGACAGGTCCAGAGGCTGCAGAAGGAGCTCGATGCTGCTAATGCTGATCTTCTTCGCTATGCCTGCAACGAGATCCCTCCTGCTAATTCTCTCTCTGCGGTGCCACCTGGCTTGGGAATAACGCCTTCAACGCTTCAAGTTCAACCGCTGCCCCAGAGGCAAAGGTCGACGGCTATGGAGTATATTAATGGAAGAATCGGCAATACTGAAGGAGGAGCAGGAGGAGGTGGGGGGTTGTACAGGCAATTTCCTGCTGCTTATAATTACTCTCTTCCTTATACTATTCCATGGGCTGATACAGCTTCGGATGCCATCGATGGAGGTGCTGCGGGTGGTGGTGGAGGTAATTTGTAAATTTTTAAGTTTGCAGAGAGGAGAAAAAAACCCGCTCTAGGGTTTTCAATTCTGCCCTTTTGAGGCATGGCATTCCCTGCAGTATTCTGATGGAAGTGTCACTATTATATATAAATATCTAGTTTGTGAACTGGTGATGAACTAGTTTTGAATTGGTCTCTAGTCATGTAGCCTTACTTGGACTCTTCTGGTAGCTATCACACTATATCTAGGCGACCGTGACGGTCTAATGTTTAATTCCCTTTTGAATTCTTAATTTTGTTTAGTGTATAAGTCTAAGTTTAAGACGAGGTTGAATGTATTTGTTACAGAACTTCATTGCCAGAAGTAATTTAAGTAGGACTGTGACCTAAATAAGTTGGTAGGAACATGCATGATAATGTAAGGCTGCTAGACCTCTTCGTGTTTTCAGTGCAACTATCTAGGCATGTGCATGCGTAGAAGTTGACATTCTGTCAATGTTGATCTTTCAGAATAATAAATCTGAGGTAATAACGTTTTCTTCATCTTCTTAAAAAGAGGATTCTGAAGCCTAAGTCTATAGCTTAGACGCCTTACTCCTACTTCTATCCTATATATATTCTTCCCTTTAATTCTTTTCCACTTTGTCCTCGTATATGTATTTATATATATATATGGACCACTCTTCGACCTTTTTAACAACAATTTCTCAGGCTAATTTATAACCACAGATTTTTATTTTTTTTAATATCTATATGTGTTGGCTTATTCTTCCCAAAAATAAAGGCACATGACCAAAAGTTTGAGTCCGTCAAATTTACTCGGAGTAATTGTATCGCAAGAGAAATAACATAGACGCAGAAAAATGATATAATATTAAGCTGGAGTTCACAGAGTAGGTAGGTCTCATATGTAGAGTTGTAGACTTCTTATATAAAAGTCTCTGTCTTACTGCTATATCTCAGCATCATCTCATAGCTAGTGATCACTAGATTTATTGGGAAACGTACACCCCGGTTAATTATTATGGCTAGTGTGTTGGATGAACACAACTAGAAGGAAAACGAGCAGTGTTTTTCTGAACTTGTCTCTGAGGCAATCGAAGCTCATTTTGAATTGTAGTTTTCATCATGTACTGTGAAAAAAGTAGATGATGAATGTGATGGTTTCAAACACATAGTCTCCCCGTGAGGCTGAGCTCCACCCCCACCATCTTTGAAACATTTGTAAAAAATAAATATGTATCTGAATGTGAAATAGTGAGCCACAGTCGCTTTCCTCTTTGGATCCATGCATAAAGCAGTGGCAGTAGCTCAAACTTAGGGTTATGTTTTCAGCTTTTTTTAAAAAAAAAATTATTTCCCCCCTAATTGTCCAAGAGAAGTACCCTAAAATACTTCGAAACTGTTACTATCAGCAACACTTGCCCCCAGATAAACACAGTGAAACAGTGAGACAATGAACAGAAGTCACAACACAACTCTCTCATGGACTGCAGCTACATTGACGACGACAACTTGCATGCATACGCATAAAGAGAAAATAGTTTAACCCGGCCGCTTGCTTGCTTTGGCCTTTGGCCATCAATATATGAAAAAATTTGTTTAGCTAGCTTCATCGATTATTAATTAAAGAAACGAAAAGAAAATTACTTGATTTCTATACTGCATATTTTTGTCATGAAATGTTTCCTGGGCAAATGTTAGTTTTCAATTTGACAGGCGAAATTCTGAACCGATCCTGGTGAGATCAGAATCCAGAAGTGGCAGCAAATACAAACCATTTCGAGATCCGAGAAAAACAAAGAAAAATAGGGTTTAGGGTTTTTACCATGAATTAGAAAATAGAGAACATAGATGAAAGAAAAGAGCAGTCTTCTAACTTACAAGCTCAGCCGCATTACCTCCTCTTGTTCCCTAAAGTAAGCAGTGAAATCTTTCATCTCCCAGAATAAAGCTAGCCGTCATTTCATCCTATGCACAAAAAACATTCGAACATCAAGAATAGAGACTTAGAAGGGCTAAAAGTCAAATACAAATTTTGAAAGAAAAACCTGATAGCTAGTGGATGGAATTACATCCTTATTTTCTTCGATGACATCTCTCTCTCTCTCTCTCTCTCTCTCTATTTAACAAAAACATTAATGTCTCTCTTGGCAATGTCATCAATACATAGGCACAGGGCTTGATAGTCCTGTTTTTGAGTTCACTTTTGTCAGTCTCTTTTCTCCATCTCAGCACAGACACTGTTACAACACTTGCACCCATAAAATAAAAAAAAAAAAAATCAGAACCGTCCTCTCTCAGCCTCTTTCCCTGTCTCAAATACACACAAAGAATATCAATATGGATATGAGACGAGAGACACGAGGGCCTGGCAGAGGCTCTTATAATAGCTACAGTGAGAGTCATCACGTCCATGTAGTCCTCTAATTCATAACCCTCTCTCTCTCTCTCTCTCTATCTCTGTGTGTGCTTTCCTCGAGATCACCAAAAGACTCAGCTTTTTCTTTCTTGGAATTTTTGTTGAACCAAATCTAATCCCTGATCAACTTTCTCTCAGAATATCTCCCTCATCTACGTCAAGTCCCTTTTAGTTGGTATAATTACATTATAGTATTGCCCACTTTGAAAGGCGGAACATACACGACGTTATAATGTTGTTGCTAATAACCGTGAAGGGAAAGGGAAAGGGAAAGGAAAGAGCAGTGTGTGTGTGTGTGTGAATGAAGATAAATGTACTGTTTGAGGCTCAGACACAGAGGAAAAAAGTGAGTATGGCTTTCTGAAATTGTTGTTCCTCTGATCAATGAATGTAATAGTAACAATACATAATCATAATTTTAGAATCTATCAAACTCATCAATCTTGTTCACTCTGCGCCAAAGACGAAGAAAAGAAGCAAAAGAGCGGGTGAAATTTTGCAGTGAGGTTATTAGAAAGGACAAACAAGCGAACAGCGAGTGTGTGTGTGGGTGGGAAAGATGGGGGGTCCTATCCTATTTAAAGCCCCACAAGAAATTCTTTATGTCCTCTTACACTAAAGAACTGACCACCACACGACCAGGTCTTGTATCTTTCGCGATGTATGATTTCCATGTTCAAGCCTCCTCCCTCTCTCCCCCCTCTCATAGATATTCACAGACCCAGACATGTACTAATGTACATATGATGACATAGTATTCATGTTCTTCGTCTCAATGTGGTCAAACAGACAAAAAAGTCTCTTGTCATTCTAATCGTATTTACAGACAGTCATTGACACGAGTATGATTGTGCATTTGTGATGTGTCCATTAATTTCAATTATGCGTACGACAAATATTCCGACTTTGACAGGTATATCTCAACTGCTACAGATAAAATTAATGAAATTGTGGACACGCAAATTTTAATTAAGTAATTAAGAATAACTTTCCTTGCGTACATCTTCCGTGCTTTGAATTTGATTAGGATTTTAGATTCACAAAACATCCAAACTCATGAAGAAGCAAGTAATAATTAATTAATGGTTCCACGATAATCCAGATTATATCATTAATTAGGTTCAAGTCTCTGAAGAGTACACATTAAAATGTATGCATATAAATAAACGACGATCCTATGGCGGTGGATTGACGAGTCATCATCAATTATATCTATCTGAAAGGCAATTTTTCATCATTTAAAAGCTTCTGTTACCGTTTTAATTCGAGACTGATAGACTATCTAAGAACCGTTTTAATTCTTTCCGTTAATTAATTTATGTTCCAACTTTGACCACTTTTATCAAGTGTATGTCCATTACATATGTCTCCCTGATTTGGACCATTATAGTGTAAGAGATCTTCACGCTTAGAAGCAAATCTAGAAATAAAACCATGAGAACTGTGATTGTTTTGTACACACTTCATAATTCATTAATGTGTGTGTTTATTTATTGAAAATTTAAAAAATGTGCCCTTTAATTAATAATCAAATCAGAACTTCAACCACAGATTCATTTTGTTTGTTATTAATTACGATTCATTGGATCTTTGATTGCTTTTCCAAATAATCAATCTGAATTTAGTGGAACGAGATAATATGCACAGAGTGGAGTGGGCTGCCTAGAAGAATCAAGCAGCCATATGCTTATTTCATTGGGAGCGAATCATGCAGAAAATTAAATTAAGATTTTGGTCATTGATTGATCATAGAAATCGATCATATGCACCTAACCATTTTGACGCCGCGAAGTCATCATTACTCATATCCAAAAGAGAGCTTTAATTTGCTTTTTTTAAAAAAAAAATCCATGAAGCGAATGATATGAATAAAGTTGTTCAAGACAAACATCGCAGAAAGATAGATGCCGTGTACAGAACATATATGTATACGCGCACGTATTTGTTTAGTATTTGATGAGCGCTTAATATTATATAAAGGATACATCCAAGTGATGGAGTTGAAAAGCACAGCAGCCACATGCATGAGTTCTAGAAAAAGGCTAATGTGTTGAAAGCCCATTGCTCACTTTGGTTTTCACTTCTTCTTTATGACCCTAAACTGCGATTCTTTATGCTTAAAGTGGTTGGTCTATGAGATTTCCAATGATGATGAGTATGATGTTAGCCACTACTGCGGTTCTGAACATACCTCTATATATATATATATATATATTCATTTACGTTAGCATATATGATTATGGGTCAAATTAGAGATGCTCTTCGTCTTCTTTTCCCCCTAGATATGAATCATGCAGATTCCATCCTTTATCTCTCCTTTGATTTTCTTTTCCAAACATATATTCTCGTGCATTTCTTAATTCGAAGCTTTCTGCTCCCGTTTAAAGAGTAATTGAATTCAGATATTATACAGAGGAATCATGAGATGAGGAATATATGAGGAAGATATGCTTGAGTTGTTCCAACAGGGAGATTTTATTCTGAATAAGACTTGGGAGGAGAATAGTTTAAGAGGCAAGGAATTATTAGCACAGAGGAATGCCAAACAAATGCGGAAAAGGTGGTGGGTCTTGAATTTGCGATGTGTGTCTGGGCCAAATTTTGACTTTGTGAAGAAAGCACTGATTAGTCATAATGCTTCACTCCTTTAATAATATAGATATGGTACAAATTAAAGCAAAAATTCCACGGGTCGCTGGCTTTCCTTTAAGAATTTTACTTTTGACACGAATTTTGGTCATCGGATGATGCTTAACTTGTTTCTCCCTTGGAAGAGCCGTCTCAAAAATAAATACGAACCACCCCAGAAATCTATTGAAAGATTTATTAAATTTAGAATTTCAATAATAGGAAATATATATGTATTCTGAACACATTTCAAAGTAAGAATTGAATTGCACAAAACTCTTTGGTTTCAATTAATCGAATAAAATAACTCCCATCCAATCTAATTAGTAAAGCAATGTAAACTCATGATTAACATTCATTTGGCTTAATCAGAATTTCTGATTGGTGAAAATTTTTCCTCTTGTAGGATTAACAACGCAATAAAAATTAATGCTTTTATTAATTATTATTTTCTCTATCGAGGGATAAAATGGTTAAAAAATTAATGTTTTTGTTGCAATTCTAAAGTGACAGTTATTTGAAAAGAAAGGAGAAGCATGATAATTATTGGTTCAAAACAGATGAGATACAATGATATGCATGATAAGCTTTACAATTATGGCAGCATTCATAAAAGATGCATAACTTACTCAACAAGGGGAGGGAAATGGCTCCCCTCCACTTATTTGATAAGGTGGATGGGGGAGAAATTTTTTTCTTTTCTCCTCCAACCAAACGAAGCCTTAAACATGGTGAGATACACACAAGAAGAGCATTGTTGATTCTCCCGAAAGAAACATGACGATGGTTTCAAAGTCAAACGCAGAACTTGTGCTGCGGAGACATGTTCATGAGAGTGGAATAATTGGGCCAAATTTCAGCCCAAACATTTCTTTATACCATCTCATGGTATGCGGAAACTTAATGGATGTCTAAACTTGCTTTGGTTAATGTGCCCATTTTGCATCAATTCATGAAATGACAAAACTCAAACGCTCTCGTTCAAGTTACCGTTTTTTTTTCTTTTTGCAACCTATAATTGAGTGTTTAAAAATTATAAATGCAAGATTTTATATAAAGTTTTTATTTTGACGAAGACATATTAGGTGTTTTAAATCAACGACGTAAAATAGATAACCCCCCTTCGCTTTCCCAGCTTTCCTCTGTTTTCAACTCACCGTTTAAGATATTTTTCATTATATGTGGCTCACTCCATTAGGTCTCAAAGTAAGTAACAACTACCAAGATTTTCCATCTTAAATATAAGAAAATTCTCCCATTTTCAGGTCATTTAATAAATAGTTCCAATTCCGCCCCTCCATGAGGATGCACATGCATTTGATATAAAAGTTTAAACATTGATAGAATATACATTTTAAAAAACAAAAATAAATCTCTGAAGTCATTAGGAGTGATAACTAGCTTTGATTTGACTATATGAAAAACTAATTATATTTTAGACAGGAGGGAGTCCCTCGTCCTGTGAATTGTATTACTAATAAAGCAGTACACAAAATGATTAAATGCACCACAGCTCAATGCACTCGTTGGGCTTCATTGATTTCATTCATACCAACATAACGCGACCAAATTAAAATACCTAACAACAGGGTCAACAAGAAACAAAAAAAAAACTAACCTTAAGTTACTCATATCAGTGGAACTGAAAGGAAATCGGTTAATTTACACTAGGCGTTTCTCGAGGGGTAGAAACAGCAGAGAATGAAATCATAGATTACATACAAGCAAATGTGACGGAGAATATAATATACTACTGTTCTATTATTGACGTAACAAAAGGGGAAAAAAGGCAGAGAGAGGGGGGGGCAGAAACCCAAAGGACGGACAAATTATATTGATATTTGATACTCCCAAGCTCTGAATGCACAGTTGAAACAAGACACAGCTAAATGAGGCAGCGCCAGCAGAAGGCTCCAGATATTGCACTGCACAACGCCTGTAATTCCCTCGACCACGAAACGACATGTCTCTCATGCACACGCCCTCCTCTCTCCCTAACAAGTGTGCACCTCCATCCACGTGTCCCCTCCCTCCTCCTTCTATTCTTAAACACTCACCCCTCTTCCCCCTTCCACTCTCTCTCTTCACTATCCTTCCTTCACGGTGCTCACACTGTCATCCAGAAACCTCAGACCATCCTTTCCATGGCCGACACCCGCCAAGACTACTACCACTACCAACACAAGCCAATGTATGCATCCGAATCTCCTTCCGCTTCCCAGGTTCTGGCCCTCGCCGCACTCCTCCCTCTCGGCGCTTTTCTCCTCCTCCTCGCCGCCCTTACCCTAGCCGCAACTGTCTTAGGCATCGCCGTCTCCGCCCCACTGTTTGTCATTTTCAGCCCGGTCTTGCTCCCCGCTGCGCTACTTCTCGGACTGGCCGTCGCTGGGCTTTTGACGTCGGGCGCGTTCGGAGTCACCGCGCTTTCCTCGTTCACATGGCTGGCCAACTATGTCCGCCGCTCACGGCTGCCCGAGCAGCTCGAGTATGCCAAGCATCGGGCCCGGGAGACGATTAGCCAAGCGGCCCAGAGTGCTAAGGAGGCTGGTGAGGCTGTGCTGAGCAAGGTACAAGAATCGGGCCAGGAGATGCAGACTACAGCCCAGGAGACCAAGAATAAGACCGAGGGTGGCAAGGCCCGAGAAGAGAAGAGATCTTCATAAACGTAGACGTCGTTTCCAGTCGGTCCTTGTGATTTCTTTCTCAGTGTCGGTGCACGCCGTCTTCATTTCTGCGTTGTGTGTAGTGTGAGGTGTGTTTAATTAGTGCCCAAAAAACATAAAAAACTAGGGGGTGGGGTCTTGTGGCCATTGTATTATCAATAACCCCCGTTTAGTCTGCTTCTGCACCTAAATTTCTGAGTTTCATGGTTTAGTACTGTATTTATCGGTCGATTTCATTCGTAACTCTCACCCACGTTTGAGATCCCCCAAGTTAACCCAAAACCCAAGTAAAAAAAAAAAAAGAATTCTGGGTAAACAAATAAAAACGGACCGATGCTACAGCTACACCACGCCTTGATATTTTTTTTTAATAAATAAAAAATGACGATGACCGTCTTTCGGTGGTTTTTATTTATGAAAATGAGAATAATAGCACAAAATAGACTTGACCACAATTTTTGACGGAACACTATTAAGAAGGTCTGAACGTGTTTGGAAGCAGTTAATGTATATAATTTGTAGAAGGGATGCTTATTTATATTAAAGTAGATGGATCCAGATCCACGAAACATATTAGACCGTCCGTCTTCTGCGTAACCTTCCCAGTCTTTGCCAGTTACGTCCATCTGCGTCAGTGTAGAAGCAGAGTGAAATTTTCATCGTAGTCCAGCATCCTAATTATAACCTATTTTGGGCTCGCTCCATAGTGCCTTCGACCCGGGCCCTTTATCTTGTGTCCTCTCAGGAAAGTTTCGCAACGCCTTATGCCCAGTGACGAATCCAGAAACAAGTACGTGAAGGGCAAAACTAAAAACTACTTTAAATATGGGAAATTAACACTAATTTTTATAATTTTTACATGCGAAATTTAAAAAAAATTCAAAGAGGTAGTGAAATTGTGGGGGCGTCAACAGGACTGCACTGCATGATCATTTTTTGCAAATAACCTTGTGTTAACTGGCATGCCAAGCCCCTACCAATAATATAGACATTTTAGATTTATAATATCTCATCATCTAGAGATATAAGAACCTTTTGTATGTACCATGACATCTTTTCTTTTCTTTTTTTTTTTTGTATGATTTTTCTTCTATGATCTTGTATTTAAAACAAAGTTGCACCCAAAGCTATACACATTAATAACTACATCCCTTTATTTCTTTTGAATAACATGGCCACAACCTTGCAGTAGCAAGGGAGACTTTATGGCAATCTCTCTATCGCACAAAATTAGTCAAATTATTCACTGATGCCGGGTTGAGGCTCTCGCACTCCGCGAGAAAGGTTGCAAGGTGAGGTAGAAAAGCGGGACAAACTAAACATGCCACTGCAGCCAACCACTGCTCTCAATTGCTTCCAGACCAGCATATTGTGATTGGAAGAAGATTTAAATATTTAATATTGTATACTTAATATATTTTTATAAATCATGACAAGTAAATTTTAATGTATTAATAATATTAATTATACAATTTGTTATAAAATAAATAATTTATAGAAAATCTACATATCTTAATTTAATTAGAAACAAGTACTTTAAATATATAAGAGTAAGTATATAAGTTTTCCTTATTATTGAACTTGACAAATGATTCACCTTCTTGCCCTTGGAAGTTCTCAAATAAAGTTAGGAATAAAAGTTAAGTTCAAGCTCCCTATTTGAACCTACTTTTTATAAGGGTTCAAACTTGAGCATGAGCTTGAGGCTTGGCATGAGCATGGGCTATGAACCATTTGGCTATGGATAAAAATAGGCTAGATCAGGCTAAGCTTTGGCTAAACAAATCTAAAACTATAATATAGGTTTAAGGCTTGAGCTTGCATGGAAGCTTTTTTTGGGCTCAAGCCTGAAGCCTTTTTAAAGGCTTATTTCATATGTAAACCTTTAAAAAGACTTTTAAATTTAGGTCTCAAAATCTTTAAATAGGTTTTGAGCCTACCAAAACCTACATTTTTATGTAAGCTTTAAAGCTTACATATTTTAGATTTCAAATAGGTTTAAAAGCTTAAAACCTATTTAAAGCCTCTATATAATTAAAATAAAATTAAAATTTATAATAAATCTAAATAAAACATATTTTAAAGAATTACATCTAAAATTTAGCAACAATACAATGCAACTAAAATGAAATTAGCCAGCAACAATACAATCCAACAAATAAAGGATAACAACACTTCATCATAATCTCCTCTTGTTCAAGTGGCTCCTACATAATAAAAGAATGAATTGAAAATAAGTAACAAGTTCAACACAAGCCCAATCAACAATGTAACAAGTATTAAGGGAAATAAATTTTTACCTTTCATTTTCTCTTTAGCCCATATTTATGGAGAAGCCAATCCCTATCATAAATAAGAACTTCAATAGATTTTTCATTCAATCTAGCACGATATTCATTAATCACCCTTCCCTCGACACTAAATGTGGATTTTGATGCCACAATTGAGATAAGGACAGCTAATATATTAGTTGCCATCTTTGATAAAACTTGAAACTTTATACTATTGTTTTCCCTCCACTTTAATGCACAAAAAGATGAAGAATTAGGAGTTGGAATATAAGGATCATCATCAATATACATTTTCAACTCTAATTTGGAAGAAGGAGTTGAATGCCTTTGATGAACCATGTTCAACATTTATTGCATTCCTTTATCTTTTCGTGGTGTAACAGGATATGTCAAGGCAGTGCCATCAACATTTGCTTCACTAGCAAAAGAGCTGAATCATCTCTACACAAGTCCATGTAGTCAAGATATAATTCCTACAATGCTTTTTTCACCTTTTCAATAATTAGCTTAACCTCACTTTTTAGTTTATATATCAAGGAGACGCTTATTTCAATAGCATTCAATTTGATCCTTAGATCCAAAACACTTGAAATAGACATCAACAAGTTAACTTCCTCCCAATATTTATCAAATTTTTCTTTCATAGCTGTTGCCATCTCACTCATGAATAAGTCAAAAGACTCTGATGCATCATTAATAACTTGTTTTACCTTATAAACTTCAGCAAGATATAAGTTGAAAGTTGGGTATTCACTACCTAAGATAACATGAGTGGCATCATGAAAAATCTCTAAGAGATCACATACCTTCTCAATCTTTTCACAATCCTTAGAGGATGGTGCATAGCTATAATATGGATCTTTTAAATTGTAAGTTGAAAAGGCGTGCTTAAATTTCATTGGAGTGGTCAATATCAAGAATGTAGAGTTCCATCTCGTAGGACAATCAAGAATAAGTTTTCTTTCTTTAAGCCCCTTTAACTCAACTACTTCACAAAATGATTTCAATCTTACATATGAGGCATTTATGAACTTGACACTTTTACAAACATTATGAATGATATCTTTAATCTTCATAAGACCATCTTGCATAAACAAATTCAGAATATGTGTGCAACATTTAATATGAAATATTTGCCCACCGAGTACCAACTTATTGTTCAAAAACAAGTTTTCTTTCTAATTTTATATGCAAGAATCATTATAAGAAGCATTGTCAATAGAAACTAAGAATACTTTGTTTTCAATGCCTCATGATCTCAAACATTTGAAAATAGTATTTGCTATATCTATTCCTCGCCTTGGAGTGGGCAGTTTGACAAAACTCAGAACTTTCTTTTAAAAATTCTAGCTTGTATTGATAAAATGATTAGTAATAACCATGTATTTAGCTACTTGGCGACTTGACTTCCACATGTTTATTGTAATGCTAACCTTAATTACATTATTCAAAATATTTTTTATGGTACTATTCTCAACCTCATATAATTGCAAACAATCATTTCTTACTATCTTATGAGTGACTTTTCTAAAATTTGGATTTGCACATTCAAAAGCCCATACCCAAACTTCATCTTCCGCAATGCTAAAAGGATGCTCATGCACCATCATAGCACTAGTAATAATTTCTCTCATTTTTTTATTAGAGTATTTAGACCCAAGAACAATAAAAGGATTACTTCCTGATTCACTAGATGGACAAAATTATAAAATGGTTTGTTTATTTCAACGAGAAACAGCCAACTTTCTATGCATGCAAACCTCTAAATGCCTTTTGAGATAGCTAGTGCTAACACCCCTTCTACTAGTAGATAGTTTTTCCTTACAATACAAACACATTGCTTTCTTGACACCATCAACAAGTTGAATTTTTTCAAATTCATTCCATACAGGTGAAGTATTTTTATGCTTTTTTGTGATGACACAATCTTCACCACCTCTATTGACTTATTCTTGCTGAGTGATAGTGTTGTTAGTGTTATTTCTATTGGATGAGCTGAACTAGTATTGATGGAGGTGTAACACTATCTTTAAGTTGCCGTTTAGGTTTAGCTCTTTGAGGATGAGTAGATTCAATTATATTGTTATTGTTGTCCATTATAATACAATACTATCAAGTAGCAACCTAAATAAAATTTTAATTAATTAGAAGTTAATATAATATAATAATCATATAATATATATATATATATATATAATCATGGAACAAAGCAAAAAGGCAACAATAATATAAACTTTGAGAGCAATGCTAAAGCAAAAGGTTTAAACGTCAATGCCCTCTACATTGTAGCATCTGATCAAAGAACCAATAATACAAATTTTATTGTTCTTTATTTTATTATTTATCACATTAGTATGAGTTGAGTTGTTAGGCTTCAGCAAGCATGTTTTGTCTTATATGATAATCAAGCAACTTCTATTTTGTTTCTCATATAACTTTATCATCTATAAAAATTGCTCCACATCTAAAATAAACTCACCTAAATATTATAATATAATAATATGCAAAATATAAAATTGCTTCAGGCAAAAAATGATGTATTAGAGCATAAAAGGATATAATCGCAGAGCATCTACAAATGGTTCAAAGCATATAACAAGCACATAACCATAGAGCATGTATAAATGGTGGATCAAAGCATATTACAAACCTGAAGCTAGCGTATAATCATAGAGTGTATATAAATGGTTCAAGCAAAATTGCAGAGCATATATAAATGGTGTGGTGGGCAAGTGAAGGACAAACCTAAATGAAGAGTGACTAGAGTCTCGATATGGAGAGTGGAGATGGCAATGGAAGATTAGCTGTGGAAGTTAGGAAAACGAGTTGTGAAAGATGAGAGGTCAGAGGAGTATCGTATGCTGCCAAATTACAAAAATTAAATTTTACGGTAGAAGAAATTGAAACTAATTACCGTAGGATAAAAAAGTAATTACAAAATATAATTTAAATACAATTTAATATATACATATATTAATTTAAATATAATATAATATATAAGTATATCATATAATAAACCTAAGCAGGCCAAGCTTGTAGGCTTACAAGCTAGGCTTTAAAAATTTAAACTAATCTGTTTAGGAAAATAGGCTTTAGGCCTAGCCTCTTTATAAACAAGTCAAGTCATAAGCCACCTGATAAGGGCCTAACCTCTTACATTTGGTAGAGAGGGAGGAGGACGACAAAGAGGATAATGAGGAGGAAGGAAATGATGGCAGCAAGCATGATATTGCTATTGTATAAGAAGATGCTCTGAAGCATTTCTGCAAGAGGTTGGTGTGTGAGTTAGGAGGCTAAGTAGCAGCGAACATTGAAGAAGAAGAGGAGGAGGAAGAAGGTGAAGGAGGAAGAAGGAAAAGTTAAAGGAGGAATTATGTGTGGGATTATGTTTATTATTCCACATGGCTGCCAGCAAAACATTGGAGGGTCAAAAAATCACAAGTTAACAATCAACATTGAGGATTTATCAAGTTTGGGCCACATTGCATTGCTTTTAAAATACAAGGAGGATATTGCATTTTTTAAAATTTAAGAATATTAGTTGTACCTCGTGAAAAAATTCAGAAGTGAATTTGTACATTAACCTATTTTAGAAACTATATATAAACTCAGCCACTTTCAGTAATAACATGAGTAAAAAGAAAATTCAATGAGCACGACGTTATCAACAATAATAGCCAAAACTTAACCAAGAAACCCATAAAAGCCTTACAATCCAATGTCGGACGGTCAAAGGATTGCAAACTCCCATGACTTCTAATTCAGATTGGAGCAGAGTCTCTTCCGCATAGACTGCGTTATTCTAAACGTTATTATCCCCGGGTTTCTCAACTCTGACATTGACCTCCACAACCTGCCGCACGTGAACAGTGAGTGAAAATATGAACTTGGAAGATAACTATCGCAAATTAATCAAGTTATTATGATCAAACAAGACATTATTACAACACCCATTTTGAAGCAATCAGTAAAATGAATATACGACTAGTTCAGATAGAATACGCCACCAAAATGGCATCAAGAATCCAGATACTAATTCATTGACTCAAACCATGTGTTCTTCCTTTATTCTAATGATAACGTATTTAGAAAGTGATAGATGGAAACTGTTCTGCGCATGGTGTTCATATGGCTTTCAAGGGATTTTGCTGCTTTTCATTCACTTAAAGAAGACCAAAATGAACTTTTCAGGATAAGACACCGGATTTAAACAGTAAAAAAAAAAAGAATTGGTATGTACGAAAACATGGAGAAGGAGCATTATGATAACTGCATAGGCAAGAAAACTGGATCACAAGAATAATAACCCACAGAAGGAATAGCATAATTTTTGTGAAAGACAAGCCAAGGAAACATAATTCAACACATTCCAGCATAATATGTGCCTTTGAGGAACCGAAAAAAGATAAATGGAAGGCAAAGAAATAAGCACCTTGAAGGTTTGCGTGTCTGCTAGACTTGAAGGAATCAGAGAAGAAAACAAACCTCACTTCAGCTGGAGACGTCAAATTCGGAGCCATAGGAAGAAGAAAAGGGAACCCAGTTGAATTTGAAGAACTGGGAAAAGGAATCAAGAGAAACTGAAATGAGAATATCTGTGTGTGGCCTTGGGAGGAATCAGAACGTACCCACCACTGAATTTGACTGCTATATAAATATATATTCTCTAAAAGCATGCACCTGAGTGAAGTTCTTGAAGAATTGGGATGTGAGGGAATAGACGACTTTGAAAGAGTGGGATTTTTTTTTGGAAATAAGACAAAGTTATATTAATTATAAAAGAAAATAATTTACATAAAGGTTATAAGAAAGATGTGTGATGCTGGGAACACATATCCTTCTTAATTAAGTCTGGATCGCAAAGAGAGAGCGAAATAAAATTAAAAGACTTTGAAAGAGTTGGTTGGAGGAAGGGAAGGAGAGTAACAGTTAGATATAATTTATAGTTGGTCTTCTTTACAGTCGATGGGGAGGGCGCGCTTTGCTATAATAGCTTCGCCCGTATTGAGAAGATACAGCCATTGGGGAATTCGACATGTGTGGATTCTCTGAGTTGGCTTTCCTCTGCTGACCCCAACCTCTCACTGTCCTTTTTATTTTTATTTTATATTTATTAAAATAAAAAGATGAAAAAGTTATAAAAAAATTAATAAATCTAGTGGATAATCAATTTAAATAGTCCAAATTTAATGTAGATTATAAAATTTAATATTATAATTTTTTATAATTTTTTTAAATTGTTCATGTAGATTCATTCTGGATAGTACGCATCTAATATTATTTTTTTATAATTTTTACAATTTTTTATTTTGGTATTATAACATTAAAAATAGAGATAATCTTCTATGATGCACTTTTGAAAGAAAAATTAAAAATTATAAGTTAAAAATTTCAAGTCTCAAGTCTCAATTGTTTAGAATAAATATGTATAATTAATTTATAAAATTATAAAAAAATAATATTAAATTTGTACAATAGTTGTTTTGAGGAAGCAATGCTTCCACCGAAGGTGTCCACAGCTTACCTCTTCCTGGCTTTGCTTTCCGATCGTTGAACTTACTTTGAATTATCAACATACGCCTTCATCTCAAGTGAGCATTCCTAAGTGCTCATTTTGCTGAACTTATCACTTTTTAGTTTGTACGACTCCTTTAAATTTCTAGTTTCATAAAGTTTAACTTCTCCCCGTATTGTCTCAGGACAAAAAAAAAATATATCTTCCTCCTTAAGTTAAAAATCCATTCATTTTTTATTTTAATATTATTATTATTATTACTAATAGATAAATAGATGGGGTAAAACGGGGTTTGTTGGCCCACGGGCCACTTCCATAACCCAATTATTTGAAATATAAATTTTCTCTCTCTCAAACTATAAAAAAAATTGAGAGTTATCCATAACTATTATCATGCCATGTTAGCTCTAATTGATCACGACTCCCAAACAAAATCTTGTGACCAATCACGTGGGTTTTAATACTTCAACAAAAGAATACAAGGAGTTGAAAAATAAATGAATTGAATCCACCAAGGGCTCCATGAGAATTTAATGCTTGGTATCCAAATGATGGTTACTGTAAAAGAAGGTCAGAACGTGTTTGGAAGCAGTTAGTGTATATATTCCCTCTATCCTTATATATAAATATTTTTAATTAAATCACATAAATCAATAAAAATTAGTAATCTAATTAAAAGCACAATAACATTTTAATTTTATTATTAATTATCATAAATAAATAATAAATCTTTTTTTCAAAGTAAATTAATGAGAGTATTTAAAAAAAATAAATTGATGCTAATACATAAAGAAGATAAACGCAAGCATTAGTACCAGTGCTTTTAAAACTGGACCGGATAGTCTGACCGATCCAACCATCAATCAGTCCGGATTTTGGTTTGGTTAATATACGAAACCATTTTAGAGGTTGGGCCGTCTCAAACCGGCTGTCGAACCGAAAACTGAATCCAGTTTTCACTGTTCAAAAACACTTTTTTATTGTTTTATTGAATTTTTTTAGAAAATGATAATTTTTTTAATCATTTGATATTATATTGTATCATGTGACTTGTTAAGTCATAATAATTTTAAAATATTTACTTTTTTAAATTAAGTAACAATTTTATATTTATTTCTTATATTTAGATTATTATATACATATATAATATTTTTAATTTAATTATTACGTCACTGATTTGACTATTGGTCCAACTCGATTAAATTATGTGAATCGTGAATTGCTAGACTTTTCGGTTTAATATCCAATTCAATTCTGAAAATATTGATTAGTACTGAAGCGTCTAGAGTCAAATGTTGAAAACCCAGCCGTCTAACGCAGGATATTATTGATTGAGTCATCAATTTGTGATTTGTGAAAAATGCTAAAAGTTATAAAAACAAGAACTTACTAGTCGAGATTGATGACTGTGTCTTGGGATGAGTGGTGCGTGTAGAATAGGAGGGTAAAACCAAACGCGAAGGCTTATATGTGCCAGAAGCAGCCTCCTTCTCTGTCTTCTTCAGACAAGACTCCTCTTCACTTCCATAACCATGCCCCATTCTCAGCAATAAATCACAGTCAAAGCTAGAGACAACATCAACAGGTGCTTCGCAGAGAACATATTCTAAGGATTCGGCGTCGCCACCTAAGAAAACGAGCATGAAGAAAGCAGGACACTTGAACAGAGTCTCTGAAATGGAATGGGCTTTATATTCAAGCGAAGGAGGTCTGCGCTTCTCCGCTCATGATTATGTTTAAAGGCTTCAAGCATCAACCTTATATTAAACTATGTTTTGAAATTACAAGGTATCATGAGAAATAGTTGGTGGACAAGTTAAAAAATTGAATAGAAATCTTATGGAAATGCAAAGTGGAAAAAAAAAAAAACTTTCCAAACAATCTCACCACTCGTAATCTCTGTTTGGCCATTTTTAATCCTTTTTGGGTGGTTAGTGACCATCCTTGTAATGAAATGGTGTTTTTCCCCCTTGAAGTTATAAGCATCAATTTTACTTTGTGAAGCTTCAATATAAAACTCATGCCAAGTCATCTTTTCAACTTTATAATAGGGATTAATAGAGTAATACATGAACTCATAAATTACATAGGAGAAGTATTGGTAACATGATTTTTTTTTTTTGCAAATTTAATAATTTTAACTAGTTTTATTATAATTCAATGATGGTTAAAATGAAGATCCTTATAGAAAAATAGAGGAAAAAATTTCCCTACATGTTGAAACCATATTTGATTCTATGATTTCACTCCAAATTATTCATCAAAGATATGACTTTTTATCCCTAATTCCAATAAAAAAAATCTGGTGACCAATCACGTGGTTTTTAAAACTTTGTTCAAGACGTCAAAGATGAATATAAGGAGTTAAATCTACGTAGGATTCCATCCACTAAAATTTATCAGTCTTGTTATAAAATTAATAAAATCTATCTAAAATTATATTTAGTTTATAAGATGCACATAATCGGTCTAGGTCAGGCTAAATTTTTTAGATATGCTTAACTCACAATATTATCGAACAATTGGTTTACCTTAATTTTTTTATTTTTGTTATTTTTTAAAGAATCTGTTTACAACCAAGTGGGTGTGATATAGATAATAAAGATATAAGCCTTTTAAATATCATCCCAGAATTTGATTCTAAGAAATGTATATAAGAAAAATATTATTTAGGAGATAACAACATCTTAAACAGTGTTCGAAGTCTTTGAAAAATTAGTTTCACAACGGCTGGTTATGGGGATAGTTTGGATAAAAAAAAAATCTGTTTATATTTGCAAACTATAAGCATTTGAAGTCAAGTCCGTGTTAACTTCAAATGGAAGAAAGTTCTCCCATTTAAATAATGAAGTATTTGAATCCCTTTCAAGTCACTTTTTCTCCGTGCTAATAAATGTGATTTGATTATTTTAAAATAAACATAAGTATAAGATGAATATTTAATTGTAAAAGGAATTATAACAATTGCTGAAAACTTGTTATATTTCCTTAGGCATCCCAAACATGAATCTGGAGGCATAAACTTTGTCGGTCGTCCCTCTCCGGTAAAAAGTGATAAGGACACTTGACGCGTGTAATGTGAAAAACATGATACAAATGCTTGATATTGACCTTCATTTTTTTATAATTAAATTGGGTTTAATTTTTCAATGCTCCTGTTTGATTAGCCGTCCTGAAAGTATTTATTTAATTTGCAGTGAACACGCGTTGGAAGGTTTAAGAGGGCATTGCACCTTACTAAATTTATCAACGGAAGGAATATATTCACCTAATGAAAGGGGAGAAGAAAGTTTCCTTCCACGAGGAACAAAAAGCGAAATACAAATATGAGCGGAACAGACCTCATCAGCCGTCTGTTAGAGTCATGATTTAAGCATGAAATAAGAGAATATTAAAACATATATAGTAAAATTTAGAACTTGGAAGCATATAGCCTCCGCAGCACAAAACCACGTGGTGTTTTTGTAGCCATAAAATGAAGACTCTGTTAAGGGCTGACCAAGAGCCTATTCAATTAAGTGTCCATAGATTTTTGTGACCAAGCTAAGTACGCTTACATAACCACAAGTCATGGAAGATATAATCAGATCATGTACAGCACAAGCTGAAATCGTCAGAAAACTAATATCCATGAACAGCAAGTAACCTTACTGAACCTAGCCAAGAAGGGAAGTGTGGCTAACTTGCTAAGCAAATCCCAAAAGAGGAATCATATTTGAAGTCTAATGTAGTAATAACTTATAATTGTTTGACTATCTAAATTCCTAAAATGAAATCCATTGACGCTTGCCCATCAAATCTGCCAATGGATTCGTATTTGTGAGTTTACTAGGAACAGAGAGCCACCAAAGCTACCAAGCTTGACTCAGAACAAGTACTTCACCACACACAACCTTGAAGAAGCAGTCCAGGGAACATGAACGTTAGCCATCTTATCCTCGTAACTAAATTCAACGGCCACTCCATCAACTTCACAGCTCACAGGCTTCTCTGAAGCAAACACCCTCATCTCCCCATGTCCTCTCACCCCAATGATCACCTCATTTTCCAGCTTCCCAAATTCCATACTCCGAATTGCCCCACCCGAGTTTAGCATATTCACCAATCCAATCGGAGCAAAATGGATTGATCTCTTCGGCATCACCGTCACCGGAGAGATTGTCAAGAGCTCGTAATTGAAGGGGTCGAGGGAAATCTCCACACTCTCCGACCACTTCAGCAGCTTCAACTGGTGGTCCCTGATCATGTACACAGCAAACACGTCCTCCTCTGTTACGCATACTGGAGTCATCCCCTTGCTCCATTCAACGTCCTCAGGACTCGCCAAGCAACTCACTCTCTTTGAACACTCACTGGCGCTTCTGTTTCTCCTCGTAACACGGCACCATCCTCCTCCTTGGCAATTAAACACCCCCAAAACCCCCGTATACTGTGATCACAGAACACCCCCCCCCAAAAAAAAAAAAAACAGGCATAAATGCACGATTTGCACTAAAAAAACAGAGAGGTATGATGCATGGAAATGCGCTTACTTTGTTGAGGTTCCAGATTTTGAGCATGGATTTGGCATCATGAAGAGGGTCTTGAAACAAGGAGTCTCTGGTGGGGAGGGCGTAGTGTTGGCACCTGAGGATGGAGCCATCAGGGAGGACGAGCTTGTTGAGGAGTTTGAAGTTATGGTTGCCAACAGAGTCACTGACATAAACAGGGCCACCGGAGATGGCCCGTGAAGCAGCGTGGAATTCAGCACAGGGGTGATCGGACTGGAACATGTCCCAATCAGGGTGAAAGAAATTTCCCATCCACAAGCTGTTATAGGCACAGTGCACCATATGACATCCTTGAAGCCAATACGTACCGTTCGGATCTCCCGCAGGGTCGATGCTCCAAAAATCATCACCTGCAAACACAATGGAATGGCTTGGATTTTAATATTTGTGTTGAGAAATGAGATGGCGAAGTTGGTGGTGCTGGGTGTGTACGTACTACTTACCAACTCGGCCGAGAGAAATGGTTTGTGTGCCAAGGAACATGAAATCGTTGCATTGCTGCATGCTAGAGATGACGCCGTTGCCTTTGAAGTGCTTCTTCACTGAGTCGGTGAGGGCTTTGTAGTAAGCTTTGGAGAGTTCAACACGACCCCCATATTCCTCTGATAGCATCTCCAGAATCTGCGGTACAGCATCAATAATTAAGAGGCCTGTGCTACATACTCACCCTCCCAACTCTATTTAATTTGTGCATGCCAATTAAGCCAACTATTTCAATGCGACCTCGTCTATTTCAAATCAATGACAGGCCATCTACCCCGATTACGTAATTAACTGTTCATTGATTATTTGAAGTTTAGAACTAGCCAGAACAATAATTTAAAAAAAAAAACTTCGAACAATTTCCACTGGTATGATTTTGATTTGTTCCCTTTGGATAATAATTTATATTCATTTTTTAAAGTTATTTCAAGACCAAAGAATCGAAATACATCTTAATTGATGGAGTATAAATTAAAAAAAAAAAGATAAAGCACCAAAACCTAAATATAATTATCTACATTTCAAAAATTTCGAGCATGAATGTGAGATTAAAATTATAAATTCTTCATTTGTTGCCCGCCCATTAGCCTTAAAAAATAAACAAGGAAACGAAAAATCAAAAGGGAGCAGGAATTTAGGAGAGAACGAACTTGGGTGACATCAATCTTGACGCCGTCAATACCCGCAGATTGCAGGTGAGAATGGAGTCCGTCGTACAACTTGTGAGCCTCTTCCGGTGCCACCAATCCTACGCCGACTTCCAGTATCTTCACCACCGCCTGATCCGTCATGGTCTTCGCCGCACCCTCCGACAACTTGGGAACAACCACCTTCGCCTCAGGCAGGCCCGGAACTTTGGGCCTAAGCCCACCCCAATACCCACAAAACGCATGCCACACGTACACATGCTCTAAGCTCTTGAACTCCTCCTTCAGGTCCCTCGAAAGGGCACCCAGCCCTCTATCCGAAGGACTCCTCCGGCTATAGTAATCCTTAAACTTGCTGTTCTCTTCGAAACTTGTAAGCCTGTTGAGCATTTGCTCTCCGGGTATTGAACAGTTCAAGCTTCCACTATCGCCGACGGTTTCGTCTCCGTCGTGACAGAAGCTTTGCCAGCCGTCGTCGATTATGACGAAACCTGGAGGGCACCCCCCCTCCGCGAGGCCTTTCACGCCTTCCCGAACTCCTTCTGGATTCACCTTGAGATAAAACGCGTCCCAAGTACACCATCCAAACTTGTCCACTACTCCCGGAGGGGTTTTCTCTTCAAGAAGCTTGAACGTCCCCAGATGGTCTCTTATCACTTTCATGGCTTCCTTCATCAAGTTATAAGGATCGTCTCCCGCGTGGATGTACAAACAGCTTCTGAAGGTAGAACCAGAGACGCTCGTGGAGCCACTCTCCAAGCAAATGTCGACGTAATCGTGGAGACCAGGTTGAAGAGAAGCTCTGAAAGGCCCTTCGATGAGGGGAAGAAGAAGGACGTATGGACGACGCAAGAGATCGCAATTCTCCAGCATCATCACTTGGGTTTCGTTCTCCAAGTCGCTTCCTTTACTTCCGGCCCAGTGGGTGCTCCACCATACCTTGAATCTGAAAATGCTCATGAACTTGATCCCACTGAGCTTTCCGAGGGGAACCACGTGGCAGCTACTGGGACGGTCGGAGTCAAAGCCGACGAAGCAACCGACGGGGCTGACGTTGTTGGCCGAGGTTGCTGTGATGTTTGGCGGGACTTGGGTGAGAATCGGGTGGCCATTGGCGAGGAAGGTGTATGCTTCGAGCTTAATGGAGGATGATAAACTTTCTTGGAAGAGGCCCGTTTTTGGCAGGGCATTGTTCTTGCGGATGATAGGGGCCATGGGAGAGAGTTTTGAGGAGCCGGTATTGGCTCTGGATCTGAGGTAGGGTATGAAGAGTACGTGAATAAATAGGATGGGAGATTTGAGAAACTACAAGCTTCAGATCCCAAAAATAAAACACTGGCCGCAGTATTGTGTCCTTAATTACGTATTCCGGCATTGACTGGTAACAACTTGAATTAATTACTGCAAGTTATTCATTATAATAGTTGGCATCAATTATTTTATGAAGACGTATATTTTTATGAGGGTGTCTGTTTTTAGATGATCAAAATTGAAGACTGAAACGCAGTTTATCAAATTATATATTGCAGGTGCAATATTCATTTTTTACATAATTTTTGTTCATCTCATATTATATAACAGATTTTATTCATCTCGTGCGAGGGGATGAATACTAGTTATGTATATGTATGTATGTATGAATTTCAAAAGCGATCCAGTGACTGAATGGTCCAAATTCGGGACAGAATACATCTTTTGAATGAAAAAAAAAATCTACGGGAAGAATTTCTTCACTTGTTTTGTGAAAGAATCGTTTAATTACACGCAGTTTTCATGAGTTTAATTTTTTTTTTTTGAAAAAAAGAACACCCTGATGGTAATAGTTAAAAGAATTTTACATAAAATTCCTATAATATAGCTTCTCAGATAGTTTCGGAAAAAATCAATACATTTTCCCACGGAGAATGTATGCATTTTTCACCACATCGCTACATTGTTTTAGTGAATTTTAATTTGCCGAATAAGAGAATGCTTTTATAGGAGTGTTAGTAAAATAATGGTCATATCAATGGACAAATTGTGCGTGCGTGTGCGCAGTGAATGAAATGGGTAATGTGGGGTTATTTAGATAGTGATAAATAGTATATTGGTGACGGTGTGGGTATGGAAGAATATGGATAATATAATAAAGGAAGAGAACAGAATAATGTATGGCATGAAGTTAAATATAATAAAGACGAAGAGGAAGAGGAAGAGGAAGAGGTGGGAGAGGATAAGTATTGGGACGAGAGAGGCTTCCAAACGACCCTGGAGAAGTGAAGGACGGATGCCTGCCACATCACCCCTACGTGTGCCTGCTTTCCCACTTCCACTTGTATTCCTCGCTCGCTATTGCAATAAAATACGCCGACTCAACTCAAACCAAGAAAATGAATAAATATATACTATCTTTTGTAAAAAATATAAAATATTTTTAATTAAATTTTACTCCTCAATAAAATAATTATTTATTTTTAAATTAATTATATTTTTTTATATTTATTTTTATTAAACACCCTATAATAAATATAAAGTCACTATCAATAAGAGCACTTTTGAAAAATATGTAATAATTACATCTCAAAAGATTAAAAATGCTTTACATTTTTAAATATCTAACTCCTCAAAAAATACCTTATATTTTTTAATAAAGGGAGTATTTATGTATTATAAATAATAGATTACTCTCTACATTTTACAATACATTTCTTTTAAAGTTATTGCACCCTTACTAAAAAAATGTAATTAATTATTAAAAATATAGGGTGTATATATATATAATATTAATTTACCCCTCAATTTAAATCGTTCAAGTAAATAGGAATAAAACAAGAAAAATATCCGTTATTATTGTTGCTTTGGTTTTTCAGTGAAATTTATGATACGGAACAATTTTTTAAAAAACCAAAGGTACCTTTGAAACGAAAAAATTAAAAGGGAGGGAGGAAAAGAAAGAGGGGGGGGGGGGGGATGATGAAGGCTATGAGGACAAGATCAAGTTTCTCGACTTCACAAGTTCATCGCTGATCGTTGCTTGGAGGAGAGCCCGGGGAGAAAGTTCAATTCGCCGACTACACGCTTAACGATCTAAAAATGGAAATTAAATACTGAAATCTTTTTTAGTAAATACAAGAAATAAATTTTACCAACAAAGAATATCTCCCCCAAAACATTGAGAACACTAAAGATTCGTTTGGATTTCAATCAGATATAATTAATTATAAAAATAATAATTAATATGATTAATTTGGATTATAATTGATTATAATTGATTATGTTACAACATGATCATAATTGGATACCATTTTTTTAAAATTAATTTTGATAGAATAAAAGGTGTTTGAATGATTTAGTGAAAATCAATTTTAGATATATAAATTACCATAAAGTATATTTTGTTTGAAAATTAAAATATTGATAAAATTGTATTTAATGTTAGTAAATTTGTTCAACTTTATTTAACAAGTAAAATATATTATTTAACTTATATAATTGATTAATTATAAAAATTTAAATTATATTAACATTAATAATTTAATGAATGTAAAAACTAAGTCAATATATCTCAATTCAAATAAATTTAATAAAACATAAAGAAATAATTCTTAAACATGAAACATCAATTTTATAATAACTAAATATTTAGTTGATAATACACAAGTTAATTTTTAATGACAAAATAAAAATGTTATGGATAACAGTAAGGATGAATATTCATAACGTGATAATCTTTCTCTTGCTCTATTTTATGCTCTTTTCTTTTTTTTTTTTAATTAGAGTGCCAGACACTAACAACCTGAATTATGATAGAGTTAAAATTATAAAAATCAAATTATAACAAATCAAAGCTTAAAATTGAATCTTAACTAAATCAAACCTATAGAAACCAAGTGATTATTTTTCCCATATTATTAAATTTATTTTGATTTATTTTAAAAATACAATAGTGATACATTTAATACTTATAAAATTATTTTACACAGATGTAATAAATGTTCAAAATACACGTATATAAGATTATTTAACAAAATGAATGCTAGAGATATATATTTGTATATGAGAAAGGCACCGCAAATCATACAGTACCATAAATCATGAGTCCCGTAATGCAAGGGGTATATTTGGTAGTTCAGAAATTCTGGCAAATAGTGAATGTTTGAGCACACATAATTGATATTGAAAAGTCAAGGAGATCAGCTTAAGCCCAAATGCAGTTTAAGGCGAGATGATCAATTGCGGAAAAATAAGTGTTTGGATAATTTTGATGAAAACGTGATTTCCGTACTGGTGATCAATTATAATGACAAACCCAAACAGGCAGTAAATCAGTTAGAACCCTAATGAATGGAGGGCTATTTTCCTTCCTAAAATTCTTACCAAATTGTTTATATTCTCATTCATTTTATCGCATAAAAAAACATTTTAAAAAAAAAATCAGTTTTTACAAAATGCTCAAGTTTAAACGCTGATTAGTTGACAGTAGCTTCTCCCGCGTTCTTCTCTTCAGGAGCAGCATCTCTTTTATGATCTTCTACCGTTAAGCTCTTCCGTTGGAGCTCTTGTTCCAGTCTACGAATTTCCGCATCCTTCTCCTCTAATTTACCTTGCAACATATTGACCTGCAATTCAACACATAGGATCACAACCATCAAGAACCTAGAATTTTATGTTGAGTTTCTCCTTTAAAAAAAAAATACTTTCATAAATAGCTAGGAAAATACAAACTACGTTTCCCAAAAAGCATAATTTAAGTTATTTGAACAAACATACCATCAAATTTTTTTTAAAAAAATTATATTAATTAAATAAAATAAATATATTCACAATAATTTTCTAAAAACGACTGGATAAAAGACAATAATTAATACTATATTAATTAAATAAAATAAATATATTCACAATAATTTTCTAAAACCAACTGGATAAAAGACAATAATTAACAATGCTTTATTTCAATAATATCATATGTTATCTATATAATTAAAATGCAAGGTCAAATATACGTGTGTATTGTAATTAAAATAAACATTACAACTATAAATAATTGAAATAATTAAATTTATTGCGACAAGCAATAAATGATTTGAAATATTAAAAAAAAAAGTGAATATAACTTTGAAAGCAATCGAACAAAATTTCCACAGAAGAGAGCCCAATAATTAATTAAGACATCTTCCAAATGCTCCCGCAGGAGGATAATGTATTCTAAGCCACGATAATGTCACCAAAATGATCTTCTTCGAGGACCATTCTACCGTTTACTGGGTCAAGACAGCGTTGCGATCAAGCTGTATTTTTAAAAGAAAACTTAATCATCAATCTCGGATTTTTCTTCTAGTCTCGATAATTTTTTTTTAATATTTTCAATCTTTATAATAGAAACAAGATTAGATGATGTTTGTTCCCCAAATTCCTATAATTTTATTGTTTTTAATCAAGACAAGAAATGAAAATACTCAAAAAAATTACGGCGACTACAAACAAAATTCAATAAAACTATAAAAATCAATGATTGCATTTCTTCCTATTTTTAGAGACCATGTACCGGTCCAAACTTGGGGCAAATAATATATTAAATAAAGTTCCCCATGTGTTAATATCAAGCTTCACAATTAAGATATCAGACATACAATTTTTTTAATAGTAAAATAATATGATATATAATTTGTATAGATAAGTATATAACTTTTCAACTCAACATCTATAATTGGATTTTTTTAAGAAAAGTAATATTTACACCAGTTATAATTTTATTAGAAAACTTGATTGAAAAAATAAGAAACTATGCCTAGATCCAATAAGTGACAATCATATGACGCTTGATAAAAGGGATTAGTGAGAACCATTTCATTAGATCTCTCCACGTCGTTTGTCAGCACGTCCATATGCTTCTGCAACCCTGTAATCAAGTTAAAGCATCATTATTACTTAACATATGGGAAAAAAAGTGTTTAAAAAAGAAAAACTTCCAATCTGAAAGTATCGAGTTTGATACTACATCAAATGCTTAATTATGCACGCACAAACACGCAATGATGGAATTGATTACATCCAAATCTCAAACTAAATATAATTATCTTGTCAGCTTGAAATATAAAAAATATATAATGTAGTACTACGCAATTCATCAGCAACAATTATGTAACTTGAATTGGACTTTGTACCTCTCTTTATTCTATCATCATCATCATCTCCTCCCACTACTTTCTACTATTTGAATTTGAAATTTAAATTTCTCCCCCAAAATTTTGTTCAAATCAATATATCTTTCAGTAAAAAAAAAAATCTATTATCATTTAGTCCCTGCAGTATACAGGTAAAGATCTAGTTAAATGACTATAAAAACACTCAAGCGTTAAATACATAAACGTGAGGTGAATGAGGCAGAAAATCAGCTGTCATAGAAATAGTAGTTCGAGATATAATTCAACCAACCAACCTTCAAATTGATTTCTGAGTTCTGCATTCTGGGATTTCTGCAATGCGAGTTTCAGAGCTAATTCATGCATCTGCACACCCAAAGATAGGAGAAAAAATAATATAGCAGTCAATTTCTTTTTCTGGGTATACAATATAACAGTCGGTTTATCAATACCGTAAAATGCATCAGACAGTTAACATTGCATAACGGCGTCCATACTGCTTTTGTGTCACGTTACTTATAGATATGAAATACCATCAACATCTTAATAATCTTGGTGACAGAGCCCAGGACAATTAATAAATGTCTTATTTATTGACACTTCAGAGAACAATCCACGCATACTTTTTTCCCTCCATATCTAACAACCCACTGAAAAGAAAAATGAAATCGCAAATGAATGGGAAGAGACAGGAGGACAAGAAAGAGTCAAAGATTCAAGTATAACCAAAAAAAAAACAAAAAAAAAATAAAAGAAAGAAAGAAAGAAATAGCATCACCTTTCCCTCAGAAGCTTGACTCCCGATTTCCTCATTTTCCTCCTGCAGAGTTCTGCATTTAGCCATCAGCATCTTCCCCATCTTGCTCTGGGGAGTAAAATTTACAGCAGCAATGTTATCTTGCAATTCCTTAACCTTTTTGTCCTTCTCTTCAACTAAATTCTGTCATCAAAAGCGAAAATAGTCAATATATGTAAGAATGAGGACAATTCATGTTTTGAAACAATTGACCATGGAATAGAAGCTCAAAACATTGGATTCTTAGAACAGCCACCAAAGTACAACAAACTCCTGACAATTTTCCATAATCAGCAAGGGATTGAACTAATGCTACCGTGTAAACAGAAGAACACAGCACGTCAAAGAGATAAGTGTGTTGCTTCATCACAACGAACACTGTTCATCTAGTCAGGAAAAAGCCTAGTAGAAGTTAAACTAATTTGTGTCAAGGGCAAAATGTTTTTTTTTTAGATTTAAGGTTTGTCCATTTCTCTGTGTGTATACATCCATGGGAGGAGAGACGGAGAGATGAAAAACAAATTTAACACAAGTATCAACTAATATCACAAACCTTTAGACGTGTGAACTCTTCATGAACAGCAGGATCTAGCAACAACCTTCTCGCCTGCAAGTCAAATACCAAACAAAATAAAACAACTATAAAAGACATATAAATTTGGGGATTAACTTTACTCGTGACACCATACAGCCAAATTGCTGTTAGGCATCAAAACAGAAATAACAATCAAGCTGCAAAAATACAGCAGCACAACTTTTAGAACCAACCGTTTGAGGAAGGTTATAGATACTCAGAGAATCTGTAGCAGGGTCAATCAACTTATCTAACCAACACACCAAACGATAAATAACAATAATGCAAAAATGTATATTGTGAATCCTCGACAGCCCCAGCCTCAAGCTTTAACATTCCCCGGTAGTGCAAGTCCAAAGGGAAAAAAAAGCAAGCAACAGCAGAAATGCCACTTTTTTCTCTTTTTCTTTTTGGTCGTCGGGAAATGAAGGTCTATGACAAAGCCATACCCAAAAAAAAAACAAAAAAAAAAGAGCAGAAATGCCTAAATATTAAGCAAACAAGTGAACAGGGAGAGGTACAGCAGGAAATGAGCTATAGATAGTTCATTATTCCATTCTCACAATGGGCATACATTTCTCAAAAGCTACGATGCAGTACAACAAAGAGCAATGCAGGGACTGAAACAGGGGGAAAAATGACAATCCCTGCAAGGTTGCAAGAAGCTAAAAGTTATAGAGGTTTTTCACTCTTCTCATATCAATGCACAAAGATAATTTATCAGCAAACAATTGATAGAGATATATTTAAATGTGCATGTACATCTGATATACAACCTGCATTGATGGCAGCTTGAGTTGAGCTCTTAGATCCCGGACAGCAGACTGGAAAAGTTCAAAGTTTTAGACAGGTACAAGGAGGTGTATATATATAAACATAAATTATCAAAATAGGTCAAATGCTTGTGCTAAGAGCATTAATATCTAGGTAAGGCCAATGTCAACAATATGCAGGATTAAAAAGGCCAAAAAGGAATGGTTGCAACATTTCCAATTAAATATTTTGATATATAGACTTGCAAGAATGATTAAAGAAGGAGGAGGGAAACAAGTTGGCATTTCACACATGCTATAAAGAATTGAAACCTTCTTTCCAAAATCTACCTTCAACTCAGCTATCTCTTGCTCACGCTTTGCAAATGTTACGATGAATGCAGCTTCCTTTTTCTTTGCTTTCTCAAGCTGATAACATAAAGTAAAATGTATCATTGAAAGCACGTCGACGAATGAAGAGTCTTTTGAAAGAAAAAATTGGAAGATTGGACTAGCAACCTGCTCTCTAACAGACTCTTCAGATGATTTTAAGGTCTGAAGATAATTAATCACCAATTTGGGTTCTGGAGAGAGAAAAGGATGAAAGAATTGTTCAGGTTTACAATTGAAACAGAGTAAACAAATATTCAAGAGATATAATTCTGTATGTCAAAGCTTAAAAGGGCATATGAAACACAATTATGTCTCATTTAGTAAGCACCCAATAAAAACTCACCAGGAGTGGTCCCAGCAGGTATAAAAGGTTCATTTTCAAAAGAAGAACGCCACTTTTGAATCTCAGATTTCGCAGCCGCAAGATCATTCTGCAACACATCACAAAGGTCTGGAAAAAGTTAGCAGGGAAAGATACAAGCAATCTAAGAAATGACTATGATTGATGGAACTTCGTCCAAGATAAGAATATGAGCTTCAATCCCAATTGCTTAGAAACAGCAATGAAAGTCAATCAAACATATAAAAGGTTACTGTTATCATTCAAAAACTACATACTTTGAGCATTGACTTGACCATAAATCCAACAAAAAGATTAAATGACTACAGTCCACTTCTCTTAACAACAGAAGCTAAATTCTACAAAAAGAAAAAAAAAAGGGGAAAAACAAGAAAACAATAAAATGAAAAAGATATTGCCTCACTTCTTAAAAGGAAAACGTACTTGGCATGTTGCAAGCGCATCCTTACAGTTCTGAAGACTGCCAAAAATAAGTCCCAGGATAACATTATCTACTGAAATGTTAGCAGAGCATAATTTCACACCAATCGTATTGTGAAATACCTCTCGCGAAGAGACAAAATCATTCCTGTTGTTACGCCAGGAGCAGCTTCTTCAGCTTTAGATTTAATCTGCATTGGGAACCACAAACCTTCAAGCTTAAACTGAACAAAAATAAAAAGTTGTGCACATCATAAACATGTTATCTAACCACCTCATCCAGACATAAGCAAATAAAGAACCCCAACCATCCAGTCTACATAGCGCATCTACGAATTGTTATATATAAGAACGCACATGTGCGTGCAGGAAATGAGTGAGCATGATTTCCAAATTTAACCAACATCCGCAGTATACATACCAAAATGTAAAATTAAGATGGCTCAAATTCTAGCAAAAAAGCACAGTAACAGCTTTCAAGTTCGCCCAATATCATCAACCTAAACAAATCGCCCAGGGTAGCATTGCATAACAGACTCGAAATTGTAAAATTAATAAAGTTGGAGGACAACCTTTTTAGATGAAAAGGGATCGCCATCATAATCTTCATCGTCATAGTCCGGCGAAGACCTCTTGTTACCTGTATTTCCGAACAATGATCAACTCAGGCTATTCAATAACATGCAACAAATCAGCGTCTGATAAACAAAGAAAGTTAACCTGAATGCCTTCCGGATAATCCACCTTCAAAATCAAATTCCTGTTGTTGACAAAAACATAATTTAGGCTGTACAGCGAATAAGGGTATACAAAGAAATGGCTAGAAATATCAAGAACTCACATCTTCGAAATGGGCAGGGGAAGACATGGGCAAGAACTTCAAAAACCCTAGAAATCGAAAAGGAAAATAATGCAGAGAGCAGCTAGATGGAGCAGCTGCAGCTGCAAATAAGCTTGCCTGTGAAGAAGACGATTTATCGAATCTCGAAGACAGGGAGATACTAGCCGTACTCAATAAAAATCAGTACAACCAGTTTCCCAGCTAGAATCTCAAGTCCGCCGAAGGACGAGTTTGGTTGCACCGGGTCGACGCGTCACGCCAGAATAACGACCAATTTATGTGGGTCTCGGGCCTTCTTCTCTAGATTCGTCCACTATCAAATGCAAAAAAGAAAAACGAAAATAAAAAAAGCACTACCAGGTCGACAAGTACATTTTGTCCGAAAGCAGAAGTCACAGATGTAGCCCAGCTCAGCCCAAGGGGAATCCGTGCTCGCGCAAGAAAGCTTACACTCATCCAGCAATATTGGCCCTGTTTGGTACAAAAGAATGAGGGAGTGGGATTGACATTAGCATTGATTAATCCTAAATTTTTATGTTTGGTATGAGGGAATAAGGATTTTAATCCCAAACCCAAATCCATTTAGGTGGAATTATCCAATACCACCCACCCCCTTGGTACTGGAAAATCAATCCTGGGATTGATTATTTTTTGACAAAAATACCCTCCATCTCTCTTGTCTTTGTTGTCTCTCCCTCTACTCTCCACCCCTCGCCTCTCACATCTCCACCACTACCATCCGTCAGCCTCCTCCATTGTGCTTCCCACAGCCACACACAAGAACAACGACGACGCTAGAACTAGGAAGATGAAGAACAGAGGCGACGTCGAAACTAGCAGATCTGGAGATATGGAATTGCGAGCCTAAATCATTCACCCAGATCTGGACTGCTCATTGGCCACCATCGACGACGTAGAGACTCGAGTGAAGAACAGTTGCGGGTAGCTAAGAAGGAATGAAGCTTGGCGCAGAGGAATGGCTGTGGGAAGGACAGTTGAGATAGCTCTCACCTCTCTCCTTGCAACAGATAAAAACAAAGGAATGGCTCCACCCAAATCGACGATTCGGACGATATCGCAGGAAGCATTCGATGAACTGGTGAAGGAGAACATGGACGATCTTGGAATGGACCCCACCGAGGCTCTCCAGGACGCCATTGAAACTCTTACTCTCCAAGGCGTTGATTTATCTGGTCAGAACCTTGCTGCATCCCTAGGTTTTAATATTTCTTACATCTATTTCGTTACTGAAGAAATGAGAATTTCTAGGAAATCATTTTAGAGCAGGAAATGGAATCGTCTTTTACTTCAATGTCTCTTTCCTTTTTAATTTCTTGAGTATGCTACTTTAACAATTTCTTAATTGCTAGCTTGGAATTACGTTTCTATAACTGCGCTAAGCCACGAGAAGTTAACTCCAATATTTAATAAGGAAGATGAGGAATTAATGTTCTGTAACTGCGTGAGGAATGAAGCTAAGGAGGAGGAAGATGAGAAAGATGGAGCAGATGTGGTTGAAGCCAAGAAGGAGGAAAATAAGGGTAATTGGGTCTTTTAGCAAGTTTTTGTTGCCTATTATTTTTTTTTTAATCCCACATATCAAACATGAATTTAAATCCTTATTTTTAGATTCAATCCCATTACCAATCCCATTCTCAATCCCATTTTCAATCCCACAAAATTCAATATTTTATACCAAACAGGGCCATTGGGTTGAGGTTTCCTTGTCCACTTCCCCGTCACATGTACATGGACTAGCTAGCATTTCTTCTTTTAAAATCAAAGTTTTTTAATATATTGATAAAATTAAAAGGCAAATTTGCCTTAAAACTATTAGGTATTATAAACTTTTATTTGAGACATTTTGACCCTAAAACGAACTTTAAAAAATGAGGCTTTTTTGCCCCACTATTAAATCTAAAGTTAGCTAACCGTTAAAAACTTTATTTGACTAACAAATGTATACATGGCACTGCCAAGGTGGATAGTTGATTAATAAAAAATTATAAAACTATGCATCCTCTTCCAGTCATCTTACTTGGAATCCAAAACCCAAATCTCAGCCATAACATCCTCTTCGTCTTCACCTTCATTTGCTTTCTTATTGACTAATGTTTAAACACTATAAACACAAAATTGAACCCATAACACTGAGCTATAAAATCAAACTCAAGTTTCCAACAATAACCAAAAAAGTTAAAAGCATCATAAAAACACAAAATCCATAAAGCTTTTAGCAAACCATTGAAATTTTCTCCAATGAAACCAAAATGCAGTGGTTGCAAATTGAATAAACATCCCCTTCTTCGTATTTGTGATAGTAGCTAGCTGCATACTCTATAAGGATTTTCTCTCTCCCCTTTCCTCATAATCTAAAGCACAATTGTTCCCTTCAAACCTGCAATAAAAAAAAGTGATGAAATAGTGTGAGAGAATGACAAAGGTAGTGTCAGAGAAAAATAAACAAAAACATATGAGTTCCTTCTTCATCCCTTTCTTCTTCTTTTTTTCTTTCCCCTCCATACTCAAAATTCTCAAATAAAATCTTGCAATGATTGACAAACAAAAACCCATATTAATGGAAATTGAATTTATCTAGGCTCTTGAGCTCCTAAAACAACTTTTCAATAACCAAACGCAATAGAAAACACCCAATCTAGTTCTAAACAAATCCCAAACCACATGCATATAAGTGATCAAATGAATAAAAATTTAAAATAAAAAATTTGAGAAACCTGAAAATAGGAAAAAGGGATCAAATGAAAGATCTTCTTATTCTTTATCTTTATAAACCATAATAGCAAAATTTTTCCCAAACTCATCAGAAGTTTCCTGGTTAACTTGTTCATAAACAATCTAAGTTCATGGAGACTTGGAGAGTCCACTGTGCTCTCCAACAACTCACCCTTGAAATGGTTTTTGTAGGGATTGAGGCTTTCCAAAAGCAAAAGACATAAGGCATCCAAAATCATCCTTGTCAAGTAGTTCATTGACATGTTGAGCAACCTTAATAAAGTGAGGTTCGACCATACATCTTTGAAGCAAATCACCAAACAATGAGTTATTATACAACTAAATTTAGTTCAAAGTTATCATCTCCATCAACAAACATGGAATTAACCCTTAAAAATTATTGAACATCAAGTCTAAATCTTTCAGCTTCTCTAACTTCCTGAGTAAGTTAGCAACATTGTTGAGTTTATTGAAGCCATCATGGGGGCAAAGGGCCGATAGTCAAAGCAAGAACCAGAGGAGTGCCGTCGGGTCAATATTACCAACAACACCAAGCAATCCACGAGGGAGATTTGAGGCATGTGGAGATGGGTAGTGATAGGAACAAGTGGGAATTAAAGACTTATGAGGGGGGAGAGTGAAGGTGGTAGAGGGCAGAGGAGAAGAGAGAGAGGTGAGGAAAGGAGAGGCGGAGGTTGTGCAATAGTTAGTTAGGAGGAGGAAGAAAGGGAAGGAGACAAGAGAGCTAGGTCAAATTGAAAAGACAAGGAGAAAGAAGAAATATGTGGATTCAATCAGATCATCTAGTTAATGTCGGTGTTATCTTTGTTGGCCAAACTTCTATTTTGATGGTCAAGAGATGATATATTTAACGGCAGAAAGGAAAGGCTTCTTTTCTAAAAGTTAAAGGGCAAAAATACTTTGAACAAAAGTTTATGATATCCAGCACTTTGGAAAAAAATTTTAAAAATAAACTTGCTCTTTGACCTTATATTAATATATGAAATCTGAAAAATAAGTGACACTATTTACACTTTACGAACAAACGTAACTTGTTATAGATTTATTTTATTTTAATATTAATGTTGATATATATATATATTGACTGATTCAATTTTATTTTCATTTTATGTAATCACTTATTCAAATTCAAATGACTCAAATATTCAGTTACAAACTCACAGTCTTTAATAATTTCATGTTTTTTTATAAACTTAATAATTTTACATTTTTACTTGTACAAACCCGTAACAATACTACAATAGAATACTCTAATAGGTGTTGGGACATCAAGACCTTGCTATCTCTTTTAGACAAGAACTATTTTTATTTAGTAATAGACTAATAGTACTTCTGGAGGTATTAGTAAATTTTGGAAAGGGTATAACATTCTAATGTAGTGAATTTCTTTTTGGGCTAATGAGTATTATAGACCCTAAATTATTCAACGAATAACATTCTGAACCTTAAATTTTCAAAATATACAAAAAATTTTCTTAACTTTTAAATTTCAAGTGTATAAAACATCGCTATTAAATTAGAGAAAATAGCCATTACTTTTACAGCTGCAAGGCCCAGTCGAACACTAATGTGGCACTCATCATGATTTTTTAAAAAACAACAATTGTTTTCTCTAACTTAATGACGGAATTTCAAGCACTTAAAATTTAGAAATTGAGAAAGTTTTTTTTGCACATTTAAGGAGTTAAGAGTTCAAAATATTATTCGCGTAATAACTTAAAGTATAAGATGCTCATTAATCTATTCTCTTTCAAGGACAAATGACATGTTTGCATAATATAACACAAGGGGGAGATTCAGTAAGCGTGTGGTTGAAGCTCCATGAAATGAATTCTTAGTATGTAACAATTAAAATGTAAAATATGTCTTATATTTTTATAATAATTACTTTAAAATGTGAAATACTTTTTATATATCTTTAGTAACACTCTCTATTTTAGATAAAATTTTACATACCAATAAAGTATATTAAATATACCTTACAACCTTACCTTTTTAAAATAAAAATATAAATTTTTAAAAATACTCTTCATTTAATACTCTATTGATAAAAAAAATTGATGAAAAAAAATATGTGATAAGAGTAATATTAAAAAAATATCATTAATAAAACTTTATTGGAGACACTAAGTCTTTTTTAAAAATATTTTATAATTTAAAACGAAAGAAGTACTTAACAATAACTAGTTTTTATTTTTAAAGTGAGAAAAATTAGTAGTTTAAATTATTAGTGCATATCGAACAATATACCTAGCACTTTTCATCTAAAAAAATAATTTTCTTTTTTTTCTGAATAAAAAGCTACGAAATTTCAATACATATTAAACTGGTTACATCAAGATGCAAACTTCTTTCTCCTCCCTCCATCTTTGTGAGCCAACGTGGAGGGTGGTTAAAAGATGCAGGCAAGCAGCTGGGTTCAGTCATGGCCTGACCAAAATTAGCTAACCCATTAGCGCAATACACTATTTATCGAGGGCTCGAGGCCGGCCTAAGGAGAGATAATGAAGAAGTTAAAGATTGGGGGTTTCTTTTGGGGCCAGCAGAAACGCTTAGTAGATCTGCTCAAGTGTTTTGCCAAGTTGAGATACCGAAGGCAAACAAGGTGGCCGTTTTGCTCCAGGCGAACTAATGCCATTCTTGTTTTCTTTTGCCATCACAAAAATGTAGTGCTTGAAATATATCATTCTTCAAATTATCTGAGTTTTGACCAGCTTTATATGATTCAACCTATAAAGCATTTTATTTTATTATTCTATCAAAATATTTAATTACAGATAATATATGACGGCTATCTTTGTGTCTTTTTCAGTGACATATAAAAGCATATAACATGTAAATCCAGCCTCTTGATGACACTTTTCCAATTGCTTAAATTCTTAAAAACGTTAACCGTTGCCATAAATTCAGACTTTTTCTGTGATTGATGTCTACACATGATCTTCGTCCGTTCTTTTGGATTTGTAGCCGTCGCCTGCAGACTGAGTAAGATGATACCTGAGCCAAGGAGAGAAGAGAATGAGATGATTGGGCAGCACTCGCAAGCATTGTATGTTAAAAAAAAAATTAAACTGAGTAGCGAGAGAAGATGACAGCAAACACCAGGGGAAAAGGAGACTAGGAGAAAGAACCCATAAAAATATTTTTCTGATTTTTTTGGCCAGCAGAACAAAATCATTTGAGTGTGAAGCCTCAGTCAGCCAGAAAATTCACATCAAGGTGATTTGTTCAGACGGTAATTCCAAATGTAAGTTCATCCTCATCGGCTTCAAGAGATTTATATCAAAGATGCAAGTTCAATTAAATAGAACCAAAGACAAATATGTAATCGCAGAAACCGGCTCCATGGTTCCATTGAAAATGGGATCCACAGGTTCCTATCAACATGCGAAACGAATGAATCTTGCTCTTGGTCCAATCATAGCATCGCCGGTCACGGCTCAGGTAGCTACCGGAGACGTGGCATTGGACCTATCGTGAAGAAAATGCAAAAAAAAAAACTAAAATTAACCGAAAAACCCTCAGAGTCCCGCTTCAAATCACACACACAGCGTGTCACCGAAGCCGCAACGATCTCGGCCGATCAAGAACCCAAGTGACGACGCTCCGGGAGAGGAACGAGTCAGCATGGGGCTTGAAATCGGAGGGTGAGAAAATTGGGAATCGGATGCAACCGCTGCTGTTTGGAGTGTCATACGGCACTTCCTATCAATTTGGGTGATCTTCCTCATAGGGATTCACTATCTTGTTCATGGGACAACCTAAATCGCTCAACCTCAACCATGAATGAATGAATACAGAATAGAGAAATGATGAGAGAACTATTAGACATGTAGCATCGCCACAACTACCCGGCCGCTCCCGCAGCACCAGAAGCCAGAAGCTGAAGATGCAATATGGCCGACTAGGGTTCAGGGGTGGAATTCAATTTATAGTCATAATAGGCCGGTACATCGTTCCTGGGAACGATATGAGGTTAGGGTTTCAAATCTCCGAAGGTTTGTATAGGGCCATTAAAATCATATTGGGCTAAAAAACACGGAGGCATATCGCACTTATCAAGAGCCTATCAACGCGCTTATCTATTGGGCCTATAGATAGTGTCTAGACTAGCTTAATGCATCATGCACGCGTGGATAACTTTTGAGTCTACCAAAAAACAAAACTTTTTGAGTCTACTTCGCCCAGTGAAATTGAGAAGAACCGACTAGAGGAGAAAAATAAGGAAAATTTTCAACAACAGCCTCTTAACTAGATTTAATTTCAGCCAAGGCTCCTAAAAATTAAAAATTTCACTGTACATATGAAAAACTAAAATAAAATTAAAGAGCTGACTGAAATAATTTTGTTATCTCCCGTGATGCTAGGCACATGAACAATTCATGTAATAAAACTAACAATTAATGTATGAAAAATAAATGATTGATACAAGCAAAATTTACAATTTTTAACAATAGCATAACACAACTGTAAATATAAACAAGTAAAACTAAGTACATAAACAACATGCATAAAGAAAATGAATACCAAGTTGCAAATTTCAATTACATTAATTTTTCATTTTTTTACCCGAGCTGTTTATGTACCTAATTTTATCAAGAATAATGAGATTATTTTAGTCAACTATTTAACTTCATTTCAATCCCCCACATGTGGGGTAAATTTTCTAAATTTTAAAAATTTTGAATGAAATTAAGTCTGTTTAAAGAGTTCTTATTGAAATTTTTAAAAAAATAATAACAAACACATGGAATGAGGTAAACTGGCATAGCAACCAAAACCAAAGGAAAATTTGTATACCTCAACTATCTTTCTACACAATTTTTATTGTGTTGTTGTATTTTCAAAAAAAAAAAGAAATACAATCAGAGTAAAGGGCAAAAATTTGTAACCCAAAAATAAAATCAACGTGTATTTTTAAAAATAAAAATAAAAATTTCACAGCATATCCCAACAAAATAAAAAAATAATCCTATAAAATATTCTTATAAATATAGAAATAATTAAATAATATTCATTACTTGCAAGATATAAAAAATCCGACTCAATGCTAAAGTTCAATGAACAGGTCTGAAATAATAGCAATTTTGATGAGCAGATACGAGGACGTGATGAAAAGGTGCTACCGTCAAGTGGAAAGAAAGAGAAGAAGTAGAGAAAGAGGATGACAACATGGATCAACGAAGATGGAGTTTTTGATACTTGAGAGATGTTGAGAGGTCAACCAAGTGGAGAAATTGAGGGTGGGAGAGCCGGTGATGTATATGGATCGAGGGAGTGATGTATATGGATCGAGGGAGAAATCGAGAAGGTGAAACATGAGAACGAGGAAGAAACGAGGACGCAAGAGATTGGTGAGGGAGATCTACGATATTCTTTCTTTAATTTCTTAGAGATAAGATAGACGGGGGATGAGACTGAGATTTGTAACATCCTGATTTTTATATAATAAAGAAATTGTGGAATTTAGGTTTTGAGGAAAAAAAATGATAATAGGAATTTATATTATTTGAGATTATTTAGAAATAATATTATGATTAGGTATTTAATTATGAATTTAAAAATTTAAATTTAAAACCACATAAGCAATATTTAGTTAAGATATAATATATAAATAATTTTTTTATGTGTGTGTTAAAAAAAAAGAGAAGGTAGAAGGAACAAAAAAAGGGGGGGTGGAAGGTTGTTGTTTCTAAGTCCCACATTGGTTAGATGAGGGAAGAGAAGAGGTGCCTTCATGTATAAAAAGGAGGGGGTGTGTGCATTAGGAAGCATGAGAGGCTAAGATGCAATTTAGAGAAAATTGCAACTTTTGGCCCAAAGGTTTGAATAATTAAATTCAAACCTATAGTTTTTTTTAATATAATTTTGGGACTCACAATCCCATTTTTATATTATTTTTTTCTCTTCCTCTCACGTTGCTCGGGGTTTTCTCGCAAGGGAGGATTATTTTCTTTTTCTTCAGGTATGTTCTAACTTTCCTATTTAGATTAGCATTTAAAAATTTATTTAATTACAAAATTAATTTTATAGTTATTTTCTAAATAATATTAGCTTTCTAGTGATATGATTATTTTGTAGGATAGAGTAAATATTTTGATTAGGATTTTTCTATAGGATAGTTAATCTGATGATATGATGGATTAAAAATATAGGTTAAAACTCTTAGGGATATAATAAATATTATAGAATATTTTTTTGAGGTTGAAACTCATGTTTAAGAATTTTTGAGTTAAAATCTAGATCTATATGGTTGAATTTATGTGGAATCTGAGATGTAGGGATAGACCTATGATTATTAAATATTTATTTAAGTATGAATAGGTATTTTTGAAGTTATAGAAAGGTGATTTGAGGCTTCAGGATAATTTTAAAATTTAATTTATTTTTGGACGAATTTTTAGAATATAGAAGGATGAAATTGTGATACTAGAAGTGATTTGAGGATAAAAAAAAATAGTTTATTAGGGTACGAGAATTTTAGAAAAGAATTTGGGAAGTTAAATGCGGCATAAATCTTAAATTAGTGTTAATATGGATTATAGATCTAAGACTTTCTAACTATTTAAATTAGAGTTATTTATTTTAATGTAAAATTAATATATAGTATTGTGAAATAATTATGTAGATTATATTGACAAAGATAGTGGTGAAAAAGGAGTTGTGAAGGGGAACTTGTTATTCAAGACACAAGGTAACCATTATTAATGTGTTGTGATGGGTGTGTTTGTGAATGGTTATGTGTTGTTTTGTTGTTTGGAAAAATTATGAATTATTGAAAATAAATACTGTTATATACTTCCGTGAAATCATTGCCAAGTGGGTTAAAAATTTATTTTTGTTTATCATGATGAGATATTATTGTTCGGATATATTTCTGTTTGGATATTTGAATGATGCATGACTTGTCAGGGTATTTTAATGTATGGTGTTAATGGGAATTTCTGTTCGGTTAATTATTACCACGTGGTAAGCCCTCATTGGACCCAATGAGTGGCGTGTCGCTTGGTCCAACTCACCTTTGGCCGGGTGATTTGGCGTCCGAGCATGGTGAAAGGAGGAGATAAGGTGCAGTCATGCAATTAAATACTTGTTCGGTTTGTTTGAAAATATTGTTTGGTTAAATGTTTTGTGTGCCCACTTAGCAATCGCATGATTAGTTACATCCGCATGCATCATTACATATTAATTTTTGGTTACTGGGACTTTTAAGTCTCATTCTCCGTGGTTAATATTTTTATAGGAGCGAATCCGGCCGAGAAAGCACCAGAGGTGTAATTATGGTGTATGAGACACCATCTTTTACGTTGCCTCTTATTTTGGATTATACAATGTATCTTGTGCCAACTTAGGACATATCTTGTCTATGGAGCATGTAAACTCTAATCCTTTTTATTAAATGCATTTATATGCCCAAGAGGATTATGTCTGTCCCTTTTGATTCATGACCTAATTTAAATAACATGCTATGAGAATCATGTCTGTCCCTCATGGTTCTAATTGCTTTTTGAGATATTTTAAGACTTGTGGTATATTGTCTTGGATGTATCATGGTAGAAATTTTTCTACCATGATAAGGGTATGATAAGGGTTCAATGAAAAAAAAATGATTTGTTGAATTAATAATTTACGAAAAATCGGTTTGTAAATTTGAGGGTGTTACAAGATTGATGAATCCAATTAGTGTCAGTCTTTCCCCCCTTTCGGGGCTGTACAAAAATCCTTTAATCTTGTACAATCTGCTCTCAACTCGGACAAAACTGATCCAATTTAGTACAGTAAAAATAAATTGTCCCAAAGGTCTAAAAAGATCAATGAGACTAAACTTCATCTACAAGCTTAATTAGATAAGGGATCCAGCTTTCAAGCCACTTGGCTTGGACCAGTCTCATAAAATTATTTTAATATAATTATATCATTTTTAATATAATTAATTGTAATTTGAAGCTTGGATGTTGAGTTTGATGCAATGTTTTCTCACGTCCTTTCCTATTTTTCCTAGAGTTTTCTCATTCACTCTTTGGCCCCCATCATCACGCCGCAAGACACAAAAAGCCAAGAATCAATCTTTCAGCCCTAGCCTTGTAACATGCTAATTTTAAATTTAAAATTTAAGTCACATTGGAAATAGATTTATTGATTAAACTGAAGGTAGCAAATGTTTGTTAATATTTGTGCAAAAAATATTTATTGATATTTATTTGAATTTGATAAGATTATTTTATGGTGATTGGAACTTACGAGGTAATATTTTGAGAAGAGAGAATTTATCTAAGACAGGTTAAATTTCATGGATAAAATACCAAATCATATTTTTAAAAAATTTATCAACAAGGCTAAGTAAAATTAAATAAAAATCATGTAAATTAATATCTCACTCAAGAATTATAATTATTTAAATATCATGTAACAAAATTTATAATAACAAAAAATCATAATAGATAATTTGAAGATTTATTATATAAGATGCATGATTATTGAATAAATAAAAATTATGGGAAAAAAGGAAAGAAAGAGTGAAGGAACAGATGATGGAAAATATAAAAATGAAAAATGAAAAATGAAAAAATAGAGAAACAGAGAATGGTGCCAGACCCACATTTCTATATTAACCAACCACCAATTCAAGTCATTTTCCCTGTGGCTGTTTCTTTTTCACTTTTAGGTTAAAGATCATTCTTAGTACACAAAATATTTTTAAATTTAATTATAAGTTAATTCTATCCTTTAATTTTAAAAGTTCCATCCATTATCACCTGACATTTAAAAAAATTAACATCCATTATTAATCAATAGATCCCATTTTTTTAAATATTGTTTATCATGTTAACGATCATTTTGCCTCTCAACTCAAATATTTTATAATAAAAGAATAAAAAAATATGACGTGAGGGCCCACTAATAATGAAAAAATGATAGGATGGTGAGGAAATTAATTTTTAAAATTGAAGGATGAAATTGATTTATAATTAAGTTTATATGTATTTG